ATGAACTCTCTGGCGATCGGGCTGATAACTTATCTGAAACATTTCAAAACCTTCAAACTAATGATTATTTGGAAATTAACAAAATTAATTATCAAAAAAAGCTTCTTGAAAAACAATATTATAGATGAACGTAGATGGTTGGAGTGGTTTCACAAGTATAATCAAAGGATAATGAGATAAATTTTTGACTGAATCAAATAAAGATAGTCTAAGTGAAAAAAAGCTAAGAATTTCCTCAAAACCAAATGAATAACTACAATTCTTGAACATTTCACAGAAAATGTTATCTTACCAAGGTTTCCTCATAAAATGTTAAGATGAAATTCACTCACTCACTTTAGATGGCATAAAGATACCTTCTTAGCCAGAGTTATAATGTTGTTCGATGCCAATTCAGTTCATTAGAAATAAAATTTTATGGAAGGATCGCCTAATCTGTTACAGAAAAGGTAAAAAAAATCTTTAAAACCCACAAAAAAAAGGTGATACTGCATATGACATCTTCACATATGACAATCTTATGAACACCTATTTTAAAATTGGACTTGAGCTTTGTGCTGACATTAACCGTAAAAATCAGCTCAAAAGAGAACGACTCACTGAGAGAGAAAAATTAGGTCATTCTCAAAAGAAAATGCTGGTTATTCCTGAGAAAAAGAAATGAAAAAAGAAAATGGCCTCTAAAACTGTCAAAACTTCTTATTCTAAACCATAAAAGAAGAAAGAAATTAAATGTTTTAAATGTGGACAAGTCACTATTACAATTGTTGCACTATGAGCTTAAAATCGACGAACCTCTTCGCCAAACTCTAAAGAAGCTCTTGTTAACCGACTCAGAGTCCACTTCATCTGAGAAAGTAATCTATGAATCGTCATCCTCTCCATCAGAAGATAAAAATCAAAGTTCTTATAGTTGTTGCCAAGGATGAAACAATTCAAATTACTATAAAACAATGTCGAAATGTCAGGAATATTCACCTTGTCATATCAACAAAAGGAAGAAATTTAAAAAAAAAATCCCAAATTAAAGATATTTCTACCATAAATAAAGTTCTTAAACATTTTTAGAAAATGGATAAAAATAGTAAAGAGATAAGTAACAATTTTTCAATATACTCTTTAAAAGGAGTATATTAGAAAGTCACAGAAAAATAAAAAAGAAGTTACTGTTAATGATCTTAAAACTAATTAAAAAAATGATATTAAGATCATTAAAAGTGATCAAGAAAAAACTAATGAAATGATGATTGATATTGAAAACGACAACATCAACAAGAGAATACGAATGAAGAAAATGTTCCTTTAATCAATTCAAAAGATTATCATGCATAAATGATATATCTCTATTAAATTAATTATTAATAAAAAATAAAATTTATCAAATTTAAGAGCACCTATTGACAGTGGTGCTAACATGAATTGTATTCAAAAAGAACTAATTCTTTCTAAATATTTTGAAAAAACTGCTTAACGGTTAACCTCTACTAGTGGTGATCGATTGTAGATTAAATATTAACTTTCAAATGCAATTATCGATAAATCTAATATTTATATTATTACTTGTTTAAAAATCTCAACATATCATATTGAGTACACCTTTTCTGTTGCAAATAATGTCGATTCAAAAAATTGATCAAAATAGCATTAGTTGCACCATTTTTTTGGTAAAAATATTAGATTTTGTTTCATTACTGATCCTTAAGAAAAGATTATTATTGAAATAAATCATACTAAAGATAAATCTTAACATATCAATTTTTTAAAAGAAATGTTTGAAAAAAAAACTTTAAGCTCGGCCCACACGAAATTTTCTTCCCTTCTTCTGCTCGAACACCTCCTCTGCACACAAGTTTTAGATTGAGAGCTTGGCTTCGCTTTCCTCCCGCGCGAATGCACGAAGTCAACCTTTCTTCCTCCTCCACTCCGGTCTTTTTCCTCTCCTTTTCTTCTTCGATGGTTGGTTAGGGCACAGTTGTAGCCTTTACTTGCAGACGCACACTCGCCCCTTTCTCTATACATACCAACACCGAGAACTCCCACCTCATCTCTGCTTGGCGACGTTCTCTCACGTGAGACTGTGACGTCTCTTCTCTTCTCTCTTCAAGTAAGTAATCTCGCCCCGTCGCATGTCTTTATAGAGCGAACTCACCTTCCTGGCTTCCATCCTCTCGCTTCCTCTCCCCTCTGTTCAATTCAACTCCCTCCTTTAACTGTCGACTCCTCAATTCGTCTCCTTTCTATTCATTTACCCGCCATCTACTTTCCCCTTCCTCGATTCATCATTTCTCATTCTTCTGTGTAGCAAAACCGTAACACATTCTATTAGGACTATTGCGCACCAGTGCTTCCTAATTTAATATCATCTCCTCAAAACCTAGCGTGCACACATCAACACAAAAATCATGTTTGATTAAATATGATTTAATTGGAGAGATTCTAATTCATGATTATACTTTTGAATATGTATTAAATTAGAATATTATTTATAGTTATAATTTAAATTTATCTTTTTATTGTTGAAAATGAATATACACCTACATTAGATTAATTTCACGAACTTGAATATATTTTTGCATCCAAAATTTTGAAAGCAAAATTGAGCATTAGATTGTATTTGAACATGAATTTGTAAAAGAGATTTAACACATTCCTAAATGTGAAATTCAACTAATCATGACTTTGAAATTGAAAAATCAAATAAGCAACCTAAAAATATAACACTTAATGAATTGAAGGGTTATATTATTAATGATCGGATATTAATTTCACAAACTTGAATATATTTTTGCATCCAAAATTTTGAAAGCAAAATTGAGCATTAGATTGTATTTGAACATGAATTTGTAAAAGAGATTTAACACATTCCTAAATGTGAAATTCAACTAATCATGACTTTGAAATTGAAAAATCAAATAAGCAACCTAAAAATATAACACTTAATGAATTGAAGGGTTATATTATTAATGACTGGATTGACATTGATTTTATTTATAGTTCATGGAATAGAGATGTATACATTCATAAAGTGAATCTCGGGATCAAAGCAAGATGACAAATATTCTAGAAAATTTATTACTAATGAATGTCGTAAGAGAAACCTGAAATTTAACACTCCATTAATTAGGTTAATCCTAAGGGTGCATCATACATAAAAATCGCATTTAGGCTAGTTGGATTTGTATTTTTTTAAGAGATTTATCTTATCCATATAGGCATGTCATGATTGTGCAATTTGTGTACATTTAATTGCTAGACCATCTCATTCTCAAGGAACTAGTTATAAATCAGTGATGGGTCTTAGGATGCATCTTAAATTCAAGTATTTTCATCAATTCTCTTATATCATTTGTATGATTTTCCTAAATTGTATAAGGCTATTTGCCAAAATGTAAACTATTAATTATGACAATTATAATCCAATGATATAAATAAAAGGCACATGTAGTTTAAATTCAAGTTTAAATATTCCATTGAATGCAATACAAGTACAATTCCAAAATTTCAGGAAAATTTACCTCATTATATCGACAAAGATTGAATTATCCTTTACTTTGGGGGGCTGATTAATTTATTTAGTTTCTTCTAAACATTTTGTTATGGCTAGAATTATTTATTTTTGTTTAAATGTAATATATGTACGAGAAAACACTCATTAGCGTTAAATATAGTCATGAAGTGAACTAAATTTTTTTTTTTGTAACCATAGAATCAAATCAAAAAACAACATTAAATCCTCATATTTTTATATCAATTATAGAGTTGCTTATAAAAGATATTTAATGTACGAATGACTTGATTCATGCTTTCCGTAGATAATATAATTCTAATTGGAAAAACATATACAGAAATTAGCCTAAAATTAGAGAAATAATTTCATAAAATTGATGACATGAAAACAATATTTATTGGACAGCAAAATTAGAATTAGCAAAATAAATACGAAGTATAAAAGATGCAATTTTAGCGGGCGTTACCTTAATAGTTATTGGGCCATATTAGTAGATAATAAAACAAACTAAGATATGAATCATTCACATATCTTGAAAGCATTATAAAAATGCAATCTGTAATTTCAAGAAAGCATTATAAAAATAAGATTTTATTTAAGTTCTAGGGTTGAAATTAGCTAGTTCAAATGAAGAGGTATCACAAAACTATCATGCAATATAAAGATATCAGAGACTTAAAAGAAAAATTTTATAAAAATAAAATTACAACGCTATGATTCTCATAGTTGAGAGCTGAGAAAAGGTTGTAGATTGAGAAATTGTGTAACAAAGACTGAAAATGATAATGTGTATATGTTTCAAAACTAAAGTACAAATAAGGGAATGATTCTATTAAAGGGATGGTTGAAATGGCATCTATTTAATAAAAGAAAATTGAAAATAGATTTATGTGGATTTCATATAAGCAATGATGATAGAAAATGGACTCATTAGATGGATGGATAATATTAGTGTGAAATCATTGGGAATGAAATGGGATGGACCAAATAAAATTAATAAGGAAATTTATTCAAAATGATTTTAAAAAAATATATTTAAACACTTCCTATAATGCCCAACATAAATAAATGTGAAGTTAAAATTCATATAGCAATCTCAAATAGTTGCGGTAATACTAAAGATGTTAAGTACGATGCATGTGCTCAGAACACTTCCAATAATGCCCCAGCATAAACAAATTGCCAAGATAGTATACTCAATAGAAAAATAAGCCCAAGGCATTGTGGTCAAACTTGAAATGGACAAAAAGTGAAAAGAATGATGACTGTTCATACAATAAAATGCATGTCAATATATATTTGTTATGTCAGAGTTGTCTAATGGGATCAGAATAAATATATGTTTTCCTATGAACAAATTAAGAAACACAAATTCACTGAAACCGCTCTCAAAATACTCCATTCAATTACAAAATTAACAGGATTACTAGAGAAATTGCAATATTCGACAATATCTGCAGCATAGAAGGGAAAATTTTATCAGAAAACTTACAGACTTCTTAATCATAGCCATCCGGATAGGGTTATTCTTTATCCGAGCAAGTGCCTCCTGCTCCCTTTGTCGAATGAGAAGCAATGGGTCAGAATGCAGCTTCCTCCATGCATCATTTGAAGACTGAGGTTTGTCCTCAAATAAAGCTCCAGGAACAGCAGCCTAAAATATTTCATAACTCAATTACCCACCAACCAGTCCAGGAAGTGCAACTCAGAAACTTAGTAATATCTACTTAATTGTTGAATTGCTTAAGAAAACAAACAGAGATTAAGGGATTAAATGTGGTTATATTGCATATAGAATAACAAATTAATCAGTGTCAATTTTTAGCAAAGTTAAAATGAAAAGAAAAACAGAGAAAACTCACCTTGTTACCATGCACATTATACTTTTCTAAAAAAAATAGGTGGATCAATGCAAAATGAGCGGCTTCCATTACAAATGATTATAGCAAGCATGAAAAAATCTAAATTATTGTAATTTGTCTTGTTTAACACAGTTACATCAGCTATTGTTCTTGATAGCTTAGGAAACTCAAGTGAAATAAGCAAAAACTATGAATAAATAGAGCTCACACAGAGCTGTTCCACATGAAGTTAGAAAATATCAACTAATACAGCACAAGGATGGCATTGAGAAATTCAAGTAACATTAAAAAAAAAAGACATGAGGGTGTTGTAAGTCTTAAAAAATTAACAAAATTTATATTTTACTTCTTCAAGTACAAGGGTGTGCCAATGCACAGCAGGGTCTTATTCAGGAAACACAAAAGAGATTTCCGCCATGATTTTAAAGACCTGGGCACAATGGAAAAAATCTAACCATTGATTCAGGCCCAATATCTCTGTTTATCACCACAAGATCTCAAATATGCATAAAAGGAGCCATAAAAGATAATAAATGACCTCCTGTTACCAAAAGTTCTGTCAAGATGTGTTCAAGCATTCCACTGTTCCTTTATACTATGCTAACAAAAATAATTTTAATAGCCACACTTAGGGATGACACTATGGGAGGAGAAAAGAATAACAGACTAAGAGCTTCACGTGAAATTTGTCATTGAAAAGTATGTATAAGCTTTACAATATGACAGCAAAATTTTTTAAAAGCTCATAATGATACTGCTCTGAACACAGGTTCCTTGGAGCCAAATTATTAATAAATAATAAACTCTAAGAAACACAAATTTGGAATTCTATGATCATGAACTGTAAAGTATGGACACAATACGAGGATACGAAACAAAACATAACTAGGGGAAACATACTACAACGTCTAAGAACATAATAGATTGACGTCACAAACCCACAAAATGAAAGATATTTGTGAAAATATGCACGTTTGATGTGAGTCCAAGTGCAATATTACATATTGACATCAGGATAGTAAAAAGCTATAAAGCATAGACACTAACAAAGACACAATATGACATAAACAAAGTAACACTATAACTGCAAAAATTAGGTGTTTAAGACACAGCAAAATATAGACACATTTGTATTCTTAATAAATTATTAATATGTAATGTATAATTTTTATTATTCTCTATTAAAAATATCACAATATAAAAAATAATATGATTTGAAAAAAGCATTTATAGGTAAACTTTACACCTTAGGATACTGCCCAAACAAAACTGAACTCCAACTTATATTGAATTGTATCAAGCAAACCTTCAATGTATTGAGCGATAAGCTGGTTTTCTGATTCGTTTAGGTTTTCGTACACTGAGACAATAAAACTCTTCAATACAATAACAACAACAACAACAATAAAGCCTTAATCCCACTACGTGGGGTCGGCTACATGAATTATTTTTCTCCATTGCGCCCTATTTAGTGTCATATTTTCATTTAGTTCTAGTAAATTAAGATCATTTTTTATACAATAAGCCCAAGTCTTCCTAGATCTACCTCTGCCTTTCTTAACACAAGTCGAATCTTTCTTAACACAAGTCGAATTTAAAACATCTACTCTCCTAATCGGATCATCTAATGGTCGACGTTTAATATGACCAAACCATCTAAGACGACTTTCTCTAATTTTGTCTGTCACAGGAGCTACACCAACCCTATCACGAATATATTCATTCCGCATTTGTCTCTAATTGTAAAGCCACTCATCCACCTAATCATTCTCATCTCGGCAATACTTAACTTATTATTATGCTTCTCTTTTAAAGGACAATATTCAGCGCCATTGAGTATTGCAGGTCTCACCACCGTATTATAAAATTTTCTATTTGGTCTAAGCGGTACTTTTCTATCACACAAAAGGCCCGAAGCATTCCTCCACTTCAACCAACCAAATTGAATTCTACTATTAGCATCCCCATCAATATCACCATCGCTTTGAACAACAGACCCAAGATATAAAAATCGTTCACACTTTTAATAATTTGATCACCCAAAGTCACACTTCTGTCATTAGAGCTACTACTACTAAAATTACATTCCATGTATTCAGTTTTAGGTCTACTTAAATGAAGGTCTTTAGACTCCAATGTAGACCTCCATAATTCAAGTTTTTCCTGGGCTTTTTCTCTCGTTTTATCCACGAGAAGAATATCATCAGCAAAAAGCATACACCAAGGTACATCCTCTTGTAGATGTCCAGCAAGACCATCCATAAATGAAGCAAAAAGATATGGCCTTAAAGCCGACCCTGATGTAATCCAACAGAAATAGGAAAATATTTGGTCAATCCATAGGAAAATATTTTGTCAATCCTCCTTCAGTTTGAACACAAGTAACAGCTCTAGTATACATATCTTTAATGACTTGAATATAAGTCATATCAACACATTTCTTCTCGAGAACTCTCCAAAGGATATCTCTTGGAACCTTATCGTAAGCTTTTTCTAAATCAATAAAAATCAAATGTAGATTCTCCTTATTATCTCTGAATTTTTCCATCAAACCTCTCAATAAATGTATAGCTTCCATGGTAGACTTGCCCGGCATAAATCCAAATTGATTATGAGAAATCTTTGTAATGCGTCTTAACCTATGTTCAATTACCCTCTCCCATAATTTTAAAGTATTGACACATCAACTTAAATCCTCTATAATTTGCACACTCTTGTGCATCCCCTTTATTCTTAAAAATGGGGACCAAAATACTCTTCCTCCACTCCTCAGGCATCTTTTTAGTTTTTAAAATAATATTAAAGAGTTCGGTAAGCCAAGAAACTCCCAAATCTCCTAAATATTTCCACAATTCAATTGGGATATCATCAGGTCCTACAAACTTTCCACCCTTGGTTTTCTTTAAAGTCTCCTCAACACAATAAAACTCTTCAATATAATCACTAATTCTTCTTTCACCTTGACTCAATGTTGATACTGAACATCTAGCATATATTCATAATCCGTGGGAGGGAAGTGTCCTCTCAACAATTGATTCATACTGAATTAACTGTGAATAGATCCTTTACCTTCCTATCCACACGAATGTTAAAAATTGTAACCACCAAGTTGTTGCTCATATTTCACAAGCTTTTCAGGTAAAATCTCCATGTATTCAAAGAAAGTTCCCATTGATTGTTCCCAATCTAGATAGTCCTGAAAATGAATATATCTGTCAAAGAAAGGGATATCCAATTTAACTCGAAATCCATTACACGCCTGATCACGGCTCGCATACCTCCTATAACCTACTGCTTCATTTTGATAACTATTAAAGCATTAATAACCAAAGAAATAAGCAGGAAATAGTATTATGCGTGGAGTGGCGGTAAATTATTCCACAAGCACGTCGTGCACTGCATCATATTGGATAACAGATCATGTTCTCTTGCAAAAACAATAAAAAAAAATGTACCATAAAAAATGCAACTGTTTTGAGTTAAATCCTAATAGCCAAACTACACTTTGATAAAAAAGACTAAAAAAACATACCTTAGAGGAGCTAGACTCCGCTGCAATGGATGACGGGCCACCTGAAGACTGGGGTTGGAGCGCCTTGAATCCTTCGGAGCTCCCTTTCCCCACCGCCAACCCCGACTCGTACAGAAAATCCAACCGCTCCTGCCGCCTAAAAGCACGTAATCGGATCTTAAAAAAGGTAGTGGTAAGATTAATAAATCGCCAAAGCAACATATTTTATCGGAAAGCAATCGAACCCTAGTAAGGTAAAAAAAAAAACATAGTAAAAATCATACGGGACAAGGCCAGCAGCCTCTTGAAGCTGCTTGAACTCGGATCGTTCGCGCTCCTCGTGGATCTGCTTGCGGAGCTCCTCGAGTTTCTTCTGCTCGGCGTCGTGCTTCTGCTCCGCCTTCCACACGTTCTCGATATTCCGAAGGCTCCCGGTATGCCATCCTTTCTTGTTCAGAAACTTCAAAGCCATCGCCTGAAAACCACTTTTCCTCCCTTTTTCTTTCTGGTTCCCCTAAATCGCTCTTGTTCCTTCCCTCTGAGCTTTTCGGGTCTGCTCGGTAGCAGGGTTTAACCTGAATCCTGCTAAAACATAAAAAAAAGACGTCTTTAAATCCTACAGCCATAAATCCCGTGGAAGAAGGATTTATGGGATTTAGAGAAGCTGAAGCGACCGAAGATGGGAGGCAAGAAGGGGGAGAAAGACGAGGTTTACCTTCCTCACTGGTTTCGGGTAGGAGCGGAGCCGAAGGAGGAGCAAGATGGGAGTTTCAGAGATCTTCGTACGCCGCGATCCAGTCGTTGCCTTGCCGGCTTGATCTTATCGCGGTCGCGAAGGCGAGGACTTGCTTGATTTGTGATTTTATATTTAGTTTATTTAAATTAATTGTCATTAGTTTAATTTAATTAATAATTGATTATAGCTGAATAAATTTATATGTATCTTTTTTATAATTAATTAAAAATAAATAAATAATATACTAAATTTTAATTAATTTAATCAGATTCCAATAATTATTAATCAGTTTAATAAATAACTAATATTTGTCACCTACTAAATTCGAATTATATATAAATCATATATATATATATATATATGTTATTTCAGATGACAAATAACACTTCTCTATTTATGGACCAAGTCAAATATGACGGACATAGTTCAGTTTAATAGGATGAAATTTACCTAAAATCCAATGCCTCTAAAAATGGCAGGAAAAAAATGATTTAACAACAAACTATAAATTGGCCAACAATTTGCTTAAGCCATGACGTTTCAGTATCCACCTTTCAAGCTTGATGCCCCACAAACAAATTTTTATCGTTTATCACGAATCTCGAGGCAATATTTTAAATAAAAAACATTTAAATTTCAATTAAGAGTAATCCAGAGCTCTGATTTTAGTAAGCTTATGGTCAAAGTTACCGGCTTGATGAAACAAACCCAATAATATAAAAACCAGTCTAATCCGAGTCAGATCAAGCCTGGATCAAATCATTAAACCATTCTTGGAGGATTTTTATAGACATTTGGAAGGTCAAACGGATGTCGAATCTAGCAAGTTTATATTGAAATCGAGCATCTCAACAAAACAAATCCAACGAACTCAATATTGTTCAATTACGACATGATTAAGGCACTCAAATGTCCATTAAACGTCATCTGATCGAGGGAAGCTCTACTGATCGTCCAATCAAAATAGTTCATATTTCCGCATTAATTGCACCCAGAACACTATAAATGGAGTGTCACCTAATTATCAACCTATAGTGGATTTTATAACTGAGTCAAACCCTATTCCCGACCCCGTTGTTTTTTCTCTTTTCGGGTTTTTCACGTAAAAACTTCTGGTGTCATCATAGATTGTTTCTCGTTCATCTGAGTGTGTGTTGAATCCTCGTGCAATGCTAAGACGATAATCCATTACTCTACCGTCGTTAATTTTTTAGCACGCATCAAAGCTCAAGAATAATGACCGCGTCTGTACTAAAAGCAATATATACCACAAACATTCTGCTGAAGATCAATGGCCGCAAATTTCAGCTTAAATGATTCATTTGCATACTGAAAATAAAAAATAAACATTCTGGAAAATGGTTTAGCCGGACAAGCAGATATGATTATGACAAATAACAGTTAATTTGATTACATTGCTCAAGGTTGTAGCTATCACTTCACATTTGAAGAACATAGATGAAATAAACAAACAAAAAAAAAAAAAAAAAAAAAAAAAAAAATCATACACACCACTCAATTCATGTATGGACATATATATACGAATGTTGAGTGGCAGAAAATTCATGGCTATAGTTTAGCGATTTATCATTTTAGCATTATATGAAAATTTAGCAAATACACAGATAATAAAATATAGCAAAAAGAGTAAAATTTTTACGTGAGAAAATCATGAAAAGAAAAAAATCATGGAGTCTAGCACAGTCAAAATAATCCACTATTATTTGAAAGTATAAAGGAACATCATCCTCTCACGACATGGAGAACAAGGTTACAACCTTACACTAAAAACTACACTTATTTTTATATAACTAAAAAAAAATACAAGTAATAAGAACTTCAATGGCAATCATAATCTAGCTATAATAGTTGCAAGCAATGATTGTTGAGGGTTGATGGTTGACAACGGTGGTGGTAATGGCAAGAGGTGCTCGACAGTGTTCAATGGCTACGGAGGTTGGTAATCAACGATGACTAGTGGCTACGGAGTTCGATGGTTAGTCATCGGGTCTTCTCTTCAGAACAGACTCTAGAATTTCACTTCTCCTTCTCCCTCCCTGTTCCAAGTGAAAAGAGTGAGCAAACTTATAGCATTTTGGAGAGAGGATTTTGGGTCTTTTGATGCATAACTTTCTCGTCCACTTGATCAGACAGTTCATATTTACATCCCTTGATCATAGGTTGCCTTTTAAGAAGTTGGATATCTTAATGACCTCAAAATTGAGTGGTCATACACTTGTTAGATTCCTCTGATCGAGATACTCCATTCAACTATAAATATGTCAAGTTTGGAGTTCATTTGATCATTCAATGGATGATCCAAAGCTTCCAAATGTGCTTCAACGGCTTGATGTGAGTTTGATTGGACCCAAATTGAACCATTTTTAAAGCATTGGGTTTGTTTGGCCAAGCCATTCTATTTGGCTATAAACTTATTAAAATAAATTAGGGCTTGGATGATCTTGACTTTGATTTTAGAATGTTTATGTATAAAAAACACATCGAGATTCATGCTAAATGAAAAAATTTTCTTGATTACACATCAACGTACATATCACCTTACGTACGCATGAAAAGGTGCATTTCACGTACTAAAACTTAAAATGGTGATATTTTTTGTGATATGAAAGATTTGGGTGGTATAAATGAAAAAAAAACAAAATTTAGGTGTTAGATAAGTAAATACATAGGAATTGGGTGCTATGTATGTAAATGCCCCCACAAAAAAATGAAGCGACATCTCAGATTCACAGTTAGCTATTGCTAAAAAATGTAGTCAAGTAATAAATATATCTATATTTAATAGAGTACAACAACGAATTTCCCATAAAGAGGACCAAGCAATGTAATGAAACAGACATCCTTCTATGTATCCTTGAGTAATTCACACAAAAAAAAAAGAAAAAGAAAAAAAAAACAATAACAAAAAAAAATGGAAATTTTACCATGGAAAATGAAACTTTCACCATGAACTCAGCTGCTAGAGATACTCAAAAACTAGCATAAATGAAGGCCGTTGAGGAATGGGATTCAATTTCAGGACCTTCACAATAACTTCTACATCTTTACCATCCAAACTAGCTGTACGGTGCAGGCACAGCAAACTAAACAATTTGAATATTTTTCTTTCCAACTACAGTAAAAAAAGAAAAGTAAGCTCCATAGTTTACAGAGCATCTAACCCAAATGCTTGTTTCATCTTTGTATATCTTATGCCTCAGAACTGCTCTCCGTGTCATAATGCTTAGAATTCCTTTTTCTGTTGATCTTTGTCCTTGAAATATCAACTTTTCCTCTCGAAAACAACATTGAAATAACAGCCAGGAAACCGATCACTGAAAGAGCCCAAATGCCAATCATCCAGATCTTCAAAGATCGATCCAGAAATTTTGATCCATGAAGCAACGATATATTAGAAGCAGCTTTTGAAACAGGGAGTTTACTCATTCCATATACTATATCCTTTTGATCAACTTTCCCATCCAACAATGCCGGCTGTGAATTCGTGATACTATATAGAGAACATTTCCTCCTGTCGTGATGGAATTGAAGAGCACGGTTCAGTGCTTGTCCACATTCAATGCTAAGAAGATCCCTTTGCAAGGCTTTTTCATCCGAGGTGGTAAGGTTAGAAGGATGAGGTGGTTCAGGGAACTTGGCCCAGCAGGTGTTAACCATATCAGTAATTCTCCAGTCAGCTTTGTCAAAACTCCAGTTAGCAACAGTGAATCTGAGCCCATAATGAAACACTTTATAGTTGACACCACGTTCGGGAACATATCCTGGATATATTAGTATGTCTCTTCTTACAATATGCTTCAGATTTAGCTGTGTGGAAGTTAAGCAGAATAAAAAGAGTCATCAATTCATGCCGGGTTTGGAAATTTTCTCTACCCATAAAAAAAAAGTTAATTTGCAGTGTTGACTGAGAAAAAAAGGGTATAACTTGAATGTGCATGATATTATAAATCATAAAAGATGACGGGGAAGTATAAGCTGTAAAGAAGGTTGCATCATTAAAGAAATTTTTGTCACAAACATAAACATTGGTTGAAATCATACTCGGTCAAGCAGGCAGAGTTCAATAGAAATGACAACTTAGTACCAGATGCAGTTCTTTAGTAATCAGCCAGAATTAGGATTATGATACGATAAGCGTTTAATAAAATTTTACCATAAGCCTCATTATCTATTTGTAGCTCCAGCATATGGCCTCTGTTTTTAGCAGAAGTAATATTGAAACCAACAAACATTTCAGATAGAAAATGTAGCATCTTTATTCATCAAGGTTTGCAAGGAAAATTCAGGATTAAAATTTGATTTCTCATGTTAGAGATGAATTTGACATGCAAAGATATAAAAGCATATAAATGTACAGATTAAAAAATTATGCAAATTCATACATGCATACTACAGTGATCGTGTATGATTGCATGGATGCGGAGAAGGCATGGATATGGCACACATGCATCTTTCATAGTAGTTTAACTCAACAAAATAAATCTAGCCCCAAAAATTTGATTAAAGGTGCATATGTAATGGGTGGATTAATATTAATACTAATAATTTTTTGTGAGTAATTGTTATTTATAGGTAGGTAATATGCATTAGGAACTAATAGATAGTTTACAAATATTTAGTAGTCTTGTATTTACTTAAATTGTTTTCATTAGAATCAAGCAATGAATGATGTAATGAGACAAGCCTGCCTAATTCCCAAATTTGATCTATTTCTCTTTCCCACCCATTTTTGGAGTCGTCAACAAAATAGTCATTTGATTATCTCTCACACAACAATGGGTGTGTATCAATGGTGCTCTCATTAAGCCTTGGCGCCCCCCAGGTGTCCCACCCCTGTCAACAATCTCCTAACTCTAAAATCACCTAGAATTGCTACAATTGTCCCTGGTCTCCCCACTTCAAATTCGCCAAAATTTGATTCCCGATATCCCAATCTCCACAATCATCATGTTGAAATAAAGAGAAAAGAACAAACATATCCAAATTTTCACCTCTACATCCCATCGCCCGATTGCCACCACCAATTATAACCAGTTGAAATCACCAATCAACCTTTGCACCTCTAGCATCCATTGTCATTCCCCAAATTCAGACACCATCCCTCCAACATTCCAAACCTCTACTTGTTGTAGCTTACACCCATATCCAATCCTCTTAAATGCAAGATCCAAGCTCGCCACCTAATACATTAATGAGATCTCATCCTATGTTGTTCCCTATCCCTCCATCTTGGTCTTAGTAGCATGAACATTTCAATAACAACATCATCAACTCCCCATCCCCTAATCATAAGCCTAGATCTCATGTGGCTAGCCACATCTGTGCCTAGATCTAGCCATCTTCACACAATTTTAGTCTAAGTCCATGACATCTCAAGCCACATCCATACTCTCACGAAAACCTCCCACACCAGGCTTACTTTCACAGCCATTGACGTCGCGCAACCTTAAAGACAAAGTCTATTTAAAGAAGTGGGTAATTTTATGATAAATTTTATAATGGATAAATCAAAATTAATTTTTGTTTATGAGTAATTATTAGGTATTGGGAGCTAATATACAGTTTATGAATATATAAGAGCCTTGTATTTCTATAAATAGAATCCATAAGGAGGTATTAGGGCAATGAAAGATGAAATGAGAAAAGCTTACCCAAGCATGAGTTATCATCTTTTTTTTTGGCGCTCATCCCAAACAATTTTTGACGCTCAGTTAATTAGAATCAGCATTTATCCCTCGCCCAATAATTGACTATTATCAAAAAACAAACCAAAACTAATTAAGCACAATATGTAAGGATTTCAAAAATGCAAGGAAAGTGGCATTACTAGGAGGTCTTTACAAGATAAAATGAACAATTGTCACTTTCAACATTAGTAATTGAAGCAATTTTGAATTTTTTTTTTTTCATCCAAAGGCTTTATCATAAGGTTTTACACCTAGACCATACCACAGTATTTTTCAGTCATCCAATCATCAAGGGATTACAAGCAACCAGTTGCTAAGACTAATAAATGTGAAGTACTAAAAAATCATCAATCATCGAGATTTACTCACACAGCACAAAATTTTTACGTCTTTAAACTTTACGTATCTAACACCAAAATCCTTATATTCACTTATAAAACATCCTAATGTTTAAATCATATAAAAATATACGTATAAAAAATGTGGTTTACTTTAGATAGGTTAATAATAGTGGGATATTTTATGTGATTTAGGAATTGTGGTGCTATGTCGGGCAAGTCTATTTTGGAAGCTATACATTTATTTAGAAGATTGATGGAGAAGTAGAAAGAGTGGTAAGGAAAATCTACATATAATTTTTAGTGATTAAAAAAAAGCTCACGATAAGATTCCAAAAAAGGTTCTTTGGAGAATTCTAGAAAAAAAAAAGTTGTTGATATGACATATATTCAAGTCATTAAAGATATCTACGTTAGAGCTGTTACTTGTGTTTGAACAGAAAAAGGATTGACCAAGTATTTTATTATTTTTGTTGCTTTAAGCCCACATCTTTTTGCTTTAGTTATGGATGGTCTTACTAGGCATTTACTGGAGAATGTACCATGTTGTATGTTTTTCGTTGATGATAAGGATATGAGGAAATTTGCGCATTTGTCTTATATTAAATACCATGTTTTATTAATTCTTTTATCGTGATTTTATGCTTTTTGAAAATTTTTTGTTGTATTTTAGAGGTTATCGGTGTTGAGCACACAAAACGAAGTCAAAATGCGCGATATAGTGATGAACAGCATAGTCACACCAGATTTGAGCATGGCCACACCAAATATGCCAAATATGGGTGTGACCACGCTAGAATTAGAGTGACCACACTGCCAGACGACCAGATCTCGTTTTGGCAAGTATGTTCATAATGATTTTGGCCAAAACTTTAGAAGGGAAGTTAGGGCAACTTCTTAAAAAGATGGGACATCTGGAGGCGGATTTTGGAGGTTCTTTAAAGGGGATTTGAGGGTTTTCATGTAAACCCTAGAGTTCTTTTTTTCTTCCTTAAAGAAGAGAACTTCTACGATAGTTTGTTTTTCGCTTTATCTTTTCATGTGGTTTGTTGAGGTTCTGAAAAGTTGTGAGAGGAGAGGTTAAGTGCATTTATATGAGATGAGATTGTCATGTAATACGAAGTGATCATGGTGTATTGCAAGAATCGATTGGATCGGTGAGAATTTTTTGTATCACTTGAGTCGTACATCGTTTTATTCTCACAATAACAAGTATTGGTGCTTTCTTATTTCATGAATTATAAGCAACTTCGCTTTCATACTCATGTGATGTGAGGTTAGTGATTTTCATTATATGGATTTTCTGTTTCTCTCGACGTCTTTTTTATGCATAAATTTTTTATGTTGATGAGTTAACCTTCTGATCCTAGTTTATTTTTTATCGAACGGAATAAGAATGTTAAAATCTCTCTTAAACAAATAGGTTAACCACAAAAACCTAGTAGAATAGGCATATTCTAGTTAGGATTTTGCAACATAGATAGGGGATCGAAAGAATCCAAAGAAAAATCATAGGGTTACGCGAAACTTAATTTTATGGATTTCTTATTCTTCTCGTGACCTAGGCACGGGCTTAAGAAGAAAACATGTATCCCGAATCGTCTAACTATAGCATGGGTTTCATAGAAAATCTTAAAAAATAACATGATCTGCATCACAGGAGTATGAATTTTACATATCTGAAAAACTCAACACTTCTTTCTGTTATTTCAATTTATTGCATTTTTAGGACATTTTGATTCATTTCTTGAATTCGGCCACTTCAAACTAGATTTAGTGGTTCAGTAAACTAGAATTTCACCTATTAGAAATATTTTAGCACTATCCTCATGGATTTCTTATTCTTCTCCTGACCTAGACACGGGCTAAAGAAGAAAACGTGTATCCCGAATTGTCTAACTATAGCATGGGTTTCATAGAAAATCTTAAAAAATAACATGATCTCCATCACAGGAGTGAATTTTACATATCTGAAAAACTCAACTCTTCTTTCTGTTATTTCAATTTATTGCATTTTTAGGACAGTTTGATTCATCTCTTGAATTCGACCACTTCAAATTAGATTTAGTAGTTCAGTAAACTAGAATTTCATCTGTTAGAAATATCCTCATTGATAGATACGCGAACTCTTAGAACGCATATTAGTTGACACGTATACTTGCGTGATTGACCAACTTGATTCATGATAAGTTTTCGGCCACCAAGATTTTGGTGTCGTTGTTGGTAACAGTTGTCAAAATTTTCTAACCTTAGGAGAATCTTAGTTAAAATACTCAATCTAAGTTTATTTTTTTTTTAATTTTTATCTTTATTTTATTTTTGTTTTATATTGACCTTGTACTCACTTATTTTTCGAAAAAAAAACATTTCAATACTTTGGAACGACAAAACCTCAGGAAAATCAATTTATACTTTTTCAGGAGTATGACAACCGATTGATAGCTAGCTTTCACATGAATTATGAACACCTAATCGCATACCTCAGGAAAACTAGTTTATACCTTTTCAAAAGTATATCAACCCATTAACGGCTAGCAATCACATGAGTTTTGAACAGCCTGTCATAAAAGCTAGGTTTGATGACCCATATTCCAATATCTACAACCCCAGTTGATCAACTCACCAAACCTTCAAATGGACTAGCACTAACCCAGGTGTAGAAAAACAACAGTCGTGAATCCCCCAAAAAAAATCATGTAGGATATTTGAATAACCAGGATAGTGACAAACCTAATGAAAGTGGGAATTTAGATGAATTAACAATAAATCTACTTAATCAATTACAAAGTCAAACTGTCGTATTAAGAAATTTAGAAAATCAAATGGGGCAGTTAGTTTGCCTAGAATCTCAAAAGGATGTCAGGGGTAGTTCATAGCCAAGTTTTCGAATATGAGGATTTAGACCCCAAAGAACAAGCTGAGTTCAACAATGTTTGTTAGAAAATGACTGAGGAAGAGTTTGCTCTTCCTTTCAAGGCAACCCCTAGCATTGTGATGAGACAATTAACCTTATAAGACCACCCATAATAGTGCCCCAAGGGAAGGAGTGAGAAGATAGCACTAAACAATAGAGTAACTAAATAGTTAGATCCCGAATCTCAAAATCTAAGGAGGACCTAACCCAAAATTTAGAAAACCATGAGTTACATGTTAGAGATCCATTTCTTGCAACTAATATGGAAAATACGGATCTATAATTAGGGAAATTAATTGAGAGAATTATGGATTTAGAAAATACTCTTAAAAATGATAATTTGAATAACACCACTACATACCCTTTAGAGGACTGCTATTGAACTAAGAGGAAAAAGTTGTAAGAAAAATTGAAATTTAATGAGTTAAAAAAAAACTCCAGGACCAACAAAAGATTTGGCGATTAATCGATAATTACTAAATTGGAATTTTGATCTTGGATGAAGCCTTTTTCGTCAGGCTGTGGACGTTAAACCAAGTGCTATCTTGGGAGGTAGCTGAAGCATTATCTGAGGTTTCGAGCATCTTTTTTCTTTTTGTATTTGTTTTGAAAATTTACTTTAAATTTTCATTTGGAATTACTTAGAATATTTTTTTGTGTTACTTATGCAAGTCATATGAGGTTTTACGAATTCTTATCCAAATGATTTGTTTGCATAAATTGATCTTCATGTTATGATATCTTATCATGTTTAATTGTCTGGTATCAATTTCTGTTGTTACACGCTATGCTCCTGTCTGTCCTACAATTTTTTTAATGACATGCTTATCATAGAAAATAAGTTTGGGGGACAGAGATATGCAAAAGAGTTATGCATGTGTATTTGCCTTAAATTAATTCTCATAATTGAGATATGATTACACCTTAATGTGGGGATTTGAGGGGTAATTACACGCAAGTATACCCTCCAGAACTCGTGTACGAAATCCTGATAAGTTAATGAAATTATATAATTACTTCAATTGAAATATAAATTCTCATTAAAGAAAGGGATTGAAATTAATGATCTGATAACTAAGCCTACATTTTAACAACTTTCATATCAATCTTAAGTTGTCTCAAAATAATTAAAAAAGTACAATTAAAATATTACTAGTCGACCAGAGATATTTTAAACCTTTTTAAGTTTCAATCCAACAAATATAATTGAGTCTTGAACTTTTGAATGAAATATAATATTTTGGAGTAATATTAGAAGAATTGAGAATTATCGTTTAGGGATAATTAAGTATTCAAAATTCTTAAAAGAATTTTGCTCTACCAGCTATAGAAACTCTCGGTGGAATGAAAAAATAAAAAGTAAAGAATTGTTAATGGCTTGATTTTAAAATTAAAAAAAAAATCAAAACAAATAGCCAATCATCTTGAAAAGAAGCTTTAGGTGAGCATAAAAATAAAATAAAAAAAATTTGATGTTTTGATTATCCTATAAGTAATAAGACTCAAGAACTTCTTAATGAAATTCTTAAAATATTATATTTAGGAAAAATGTTAAGGAGGGTTAAGTTGGTTAATTGAATCTTAATCGGTTAAAACTATCTTTGGGAAATAAAAATATTTCAATTACACTAGATTAAACATTTTGAAATTTTCTTAAGGTTAGGAAGAAGGAAATTGAAGGAAGGACTAGTTTAATAGAAATTAATAAAAATCATATCTTGAATTGAGATTTACATATCTCTTATAAAACTTATATAATCCGGTTAAATAACCAGAAAGCCACGTGTGAACTCCAAATCTTTTTAATCCTTGATGAGAAATGAGAATATTTGAAGGTAACTAATAATTAAGTTTACGGGAATTGACATGAGATAAATATATGTATTTTTCTTGCATTAAATACCATGTTTTATTCATCATTTATCATGATGTTTTATCATGATGTTATGCTGATGGAAGGTTATTTATGGTATGTTGTAGGTCATAGGTGTTGAGCATGCAAAACAAAGTCAAAATGCCCGATATGGTGTTGAATGACGTATCTGGGTATGACCATACAAGTTCTGAGTGTGACCACACCAGAACCAGCGTGACCACGCAACCAGATGACCAGATCTCGTTTTGGCAAGTATTTTCATGTTGATTTTGGCCAAGGCTTTAAAAGGAAAGCTAGGGCAACTTCTTAAAGAGATGGTGATCATATGGAGGTGGATTTTGAAGGCTCCCTAAAGGAGATTTGAGGGTTTGAGAATAAACCCTAAAGTTCTCTTCTTCTTCCTTGAAAGAGAGAACTTCTAGGTATTTTTTCTTTATTTTTCTCTTTTCATGTGGTTTGTTGAAGTTTTGATGAGTTGCGAGAGGAGTGGTTGAGTGCATTTGTATGAGATGAGATCGTCGAGTAACTTATATTAAACGGAGAGAATCATGATGTATTACAATAACCGATTAGCTTGGTGAGAGTTTTCTGTACCAGTTGCACCATACTTCTTTTTATTCTCGCAAGAACAAGTATTGGTGCTTTGTTTTTTGATGAATTGCAAATAACCTCACTTTCATACTCATTTGATGTAATATTTGTGGTTTTCAGTCTATGGATTTTTTGTTTCCATCGACGCTTTTTTTATGCATAAATTTTTTGTGTTGATGTGTTAACCTTCCGAAACATAATTTATTTTTTTAACGGACGTGATAAGAATGTTTAAAATCTCTCGTGAATTATGACTTTTGGCCATTGTGTAGTGGAATGAGTAGGCTAACCACAAAAATTTGTTAGAATAAGCATATTCTAGTTAGAATTTTACAACCAAGATAAAGAATCGGAAGAATCCAGAGAAAAGTCATAGGGTTAAGTGAAAATTAACTTTATGGGTTTCTAATTCTTCTTCTAACCTATGCATAGGCTTAAGGAAAAAAATTGTATCATTGGTTGTCAACAAAAGTTTGGGTTCCATAGAAAAACTTCAAGAAACTATCTGATCTGTGTCACGAAAGTATGAATCTTACATATCTGAAAAATTCAACACTTCTTTCTCTCATTTATGTTTATTACATTTTTTAGGACTGTTAGATTCGTCGCATAACTTGAACCACTTCAAACATAATTTTGCGGTTCGGTAAACTAGAACTTCACCTGTTAGAAATATTTTGGCACTATCCCTATGGGATCGATACGTGGACTCTTAAATTGCATATTACTTGACAAGTATACTTACGTAATTGACCGACTTACTTTGCGATAAGTTTTCGGCCATCAGATAGTCTTCCTGTGAATAAGACTAGAGAAAGAGTTCACGAAAAACTTAATTTATGACGGTCTACATTGGAGTCAAAAATCCATTGTTTGAGCAGATCTATGTTGAATACATGAAATGTAATTTTAATAGTAGTAGATCTAATGGCAGAGTTGTAACTTTGGGTGATCAAATCATTAGAAGATGGTGCAACTGGTACAAAATTCAAGTTCGTAGAATGAAGTGGAGGAATGCATCAGGCTTATCGTGTGATGGTAAAGCACCGCTTAGGCTAAAAGGAAAATTTTATAAGATTGTGGTGAGATCTGCAATGCTTTATGGTGCGGAATGTTGGCCTTTAAAAGAGAAGCATAAAACTAAGTTAAGTGTTATTGAGATGAGAATGCTTGTGTGGATAAATGGCTTGACACTTAAGAGACAAAATGTGAAATGATTGTATTCGTGAAAGGGTTGGTGTAGCCCCAGTGGCAAACAAGATTAAAGAGTCATCTTAGATGGTTTGGTCACATGAAATGTCGACCATCTGATGATCTGATTAAGAGAGTAGATGTTTTAGATTCAACTTATCCTAAGAAACGAGAGGTGGACATAAAAGACTTCGACATAATTGATAAAAAAATAATCTTAATTTATTAGAATTAAATGAAAATATGACACTCAATAGGACACAATGGAGAAAAAGGATTCATGTAGCCGACCACACTTAGTGGGATAAAGGGTCGTCGTGGTTGCTGTTGTTGTGGTAGGAATTGTGGTGTTATATATCAAAATATATAGATTTAGGTGTTAGATATGTAAATACACAAAAATTGTGATATGTATATGAATACTTCTTAAATCATTTTTTGCTTAATCCAAACTTTATTTATTCAAGTCTTTTAATTTATTTTATTTTATTTTTTACTTTTCAAGGAAGAATCCAATCTATAGTAGAGTTGTTAAAGGGCTAGGGACTTGCCAGATCAGTCAACCTGACCAAACTTTCAAAGTCAAATTTTGAGGTCTGCTAGGGTGAATGGCTCCTCATTATGGAGTCAACTCAACATAAAAATAAGACATGGGAATTCTCGACGAATTTTCATTAATTGATATAATCATATATGCCTGCAGTGAAAGCATGTCTGACAGACAGAAGCACTATCCAAAAATGTTTTCTTTGGCCAATAAAGAATGGTAATAAATAAATACCTCAGCTGCCCCAAACGAGTAGCCATACATTTCGCTAATCCAGCCAGATGAATATACATCCCCAGTGAAGTTAGTGGCATAATGAGCTTTATCAGCTCGAACTTCCTCTGTTTTATGAAGCCATAGTAGTGCAAACTTCTGCAAGTCTTCTATATGCATTATTATGACACCACCAACCTTGTCACAAGCTTCAGGGTTGCGTGTATGAATCTTTGCCAGCACATTATCACAACCAATAAGGTATCTGGTAATAGTAAAAATGACTTATAAATAATCTAAGAATAAGCAGTACACAGTTTTAAAGATCAGAATGAATATGTTTTGATTTTAAATGTCTTACTCATACGGTGTTGAAACTGGACGGCCACGGTCAGCACCATATTCCCATGGTGTAATGGAACCTCTAAGTATCATATCAGCATCAAGAATAACAATGAACTCTGCATCAGTCTTCACATGATTAAGCCAATGGAGAACAGCTGCTGGTTTGTTGATCGCAGGGTACCTTAATATCCACAACAACTTAAAAAGAAAATTTATTTTTCTCGCTATAATTGTATAGCAATTTTCACAAACAATTGCAAACATTATGAATGAACCATAAATAAAAATTTTTGCACAAAATCAGATAACATTATTGAGACCTTTCTTAAGAAAAAATGGAAAATGTATATACATCGCCTACAAGTTCTAAAAATTATATATATA